CCCCCCCCCATAATTCTCAAAAAAAAAAAGTCAAAGGTAATACTGAATTAATAATTGTGACATAAGGCTGTTTCCTAGTTTCTTTTCAGTGACTGCTTTTAAGAAATTCTTTCACTTGTTTACAGAGTATGTGTACATTTTTTTCTATCTCCCTAAAGCCCTTTGGTTTTTTCATACTAGACCAAAATGACCAGCTGAGCTGGATTGAAGCTAGAGCCTTTTATCCACTTAATAAATATATATTCCTGTCAGTGAAGTAAAGGCTATTTTCTTTTCTTCTGGTTGACTTTAAGGCATCTTACATGTAAGAATAGTGTCCTAGGACAGGCTTGACATACTGAGCAGCTTATAAATAAGCAAATCTTGAAATTAAAAATTCATTGTAATGAAACAATATGAAACAGAGTAAGAGGAGTCTTCTAAGATAATGATAGTACAGATTTCAAATTACATACTCAGCTATAGCTTTCTCTACTCATCATTTTAGCTTTCATAATAGTTCTAGCTATGAAAATGTATTTTTGTAAATATGTAACATTGTGACAATTTAAGTTGGGGTTTTCTTGTGCTATTGAAGCTTCCATATAAGAAAAAATTACTTTTATTAGATTTCTTGTTTTGTTGTACTATAAGATCATTGGTGTTACAGCTTTTCTTACCTGCAAATATATATCCTTTGAATTTAATGGCTGTGCTAGGAATTTATCTATAAAGTAGCTTCCTTAGAATCAGAATATAGTATTTTGGTTTGTAGTATGACTAGCCGTAATGCTTGAAGCAGGCTCTTGCTCTAGATTGGTATTTAATTTGATGTTTGTGCCAAAAGCTGTCTTTCTACCCAATGTAATCTGAAAGAGTACAACCACTTTTTTACTGAACTGGAGGTGGGGGGGAAGCTGTGTCAGCTTTCTTCATATCACTCCAGTTTTTGAGATCTGGGGGGTGGGGGCACAAATTAGGCATCAGAGTGCACAAATCCATCATTGCATACTATGTCACCTCGTGAGCTTTGGACAACTAAACTGCTGTGCCCACAGCATGGCATCATTTTCCCCTGGCATTAGTGGAAGGCACACTTCCTAACTTGTGTCAGAATATTTTTGGACGTCAGTTTCCTATTTTCTCTCCCAGTATGTCTCTGCCTTGATGGAAGGAAATGTTGTTTTCCTGACAATTTGGCAGACACAGGGTTGAAAAAATAAGTTATAAGTAGCAAATGTTTAAACTAATTCACCCTTCTATAAACTCATGGAGTGCTCTGTTGCAGGCTACAGAACTAGAATAAACCCTGGTAGAGGCAGAAGCAAAAAAGCCTCTTCAGAGTGTGCGCTTTAAGCCATAAACCTCCTGTCCTATTTCGGAGCTTAGTCTCTGTCATGATAAACCATACTGGACTAGGCCACTGTTTGTGAAGTTTAGATAGTAACAGCCTAGGATGCTAAAGGGAGCTTTAAAATTACTTGCACATGTGGAACAGTATGTACTTAAGCTGGCTCTCCAGAGGTGAAAGGCCAGAGTATTCCCTACTGCACAGCCTGTTTTCTATTTCAAAACACATGGGTATATGGGAAATCTTATAATAAATGCTACTTATTTTAAAACAATTTCCCAAAACAATAAGCTATGACTCTTTATGTACAGTTTTAAGTTTTTCCTAATTGCACAGTCAGGGAGAAGGAATGGTTAATAACTTGGATTCTGGTGAACTTTTCATATCAGCTTTTGGTTAGTGGATGTCTGATAAATTAGCAATACTCTTAGTTTTTCCTGGCAAAGGAGAAATCCTCTTTCCTTTTCCTAGCTGGTATGACAAGCAGCTCTGGTATTCTTCTCATGCACCTGGCAAAGAGAGGAGGAGTGAGGCTCTGGTATGGTGGTACCCCTCTCCCAGGCATTAGAAATTTCTAGGCTGGAAATACATGTGAGGTGGAGATGGACATTCCTACAACTCTTCCCCACCTGTCCCAGCTTTGTGGTTGTTTTGAAACAGTGATTTTACTTGACTGTCCTCTCATTTTAAACTTTTGGTTATAATTTTCAGAGCTCTGATACTTTTCCCTGCTGTTTATGTTCTGAGTAGCAAATTGCAACTGATAAGCATCCTCAATTTTCTGTCTGTAGGCTCAGGAACCCAGGAATGTCCTGTCTTGTGTTTTTTTTTTTTTCCTCATTAATCTTTGAAGGGTTATAAATTTGTTCTGAAAATACTGCAGAAACTAAAGACTTAAGCCTGCTCACCTTCTCCAAGAAGCTTCCAACTTAGCGAGTGGGGAG